TATAATGCAAAAGGTTTGCTGCTTCTTATGGCCCTTAACGCGTTCAGAAATGCGATTCTTCGGAAAGTTATAGCGCGTCAAAGTGGAAATAGGCAAAACGGCCATTATTATTGCATCAACCTTATATTTTTGCAGATTGGCAAAGCAGACAAGAATCAATTTCAAGAGACTCCACAAGTAGATTTCTTGCGCAGTAAATGAGTAAAATGCAGTTCATATAGGAATTTTACGTCAAAGTATGAACCATAGATCATACTTATCGTCAAGATGCACCGTATGTTCGAGTACTGATTATGGCGCATACTTTTCACACTTATGTAGCTTCTTACTCCTCAGCTTCAGTATCAGAAGTGGGATGCGAAATTCGAACTCGAACGCGTGACGTCAACATGACGCCAAGCCCAAACGAACCTCAGTTTGACATCTCATGCATTAGATGCCTCTTACTCTTCTTCTAATGGTTCTGCATTTTGCCGCTCATTAAGCAACTTTTCGTCCAAAACCTGTAATTATGATTTTTAGATAGTTCGCAAAAATACGATGAGACATCCTCTCTACCTGCCACGTCCACTTTTGATTAGGTGAATCGTTGTCACATTTACGCATGAAAACAAAACCAGATCCATCTGTCTCTGCGGTTAAGCACTGGTTTGAAACCTTCAGAATAATTAACATATTTCTTTGCAAGAGCAAGCGAAGCTCAAAAAGAGATGCTTACTGGATGATAAATCATTTGCGTCTCTATGCGATATTTGAACAGCTGATTGCCTTTCTGACTGTGACTGAAAACCGAAAATTCGATGCGACCGTAGAATAACCACAAAAACGAACCAATCAAACAGCACTACAGGAGCTTTGTCGTCTGATGTAGAAACGTCAAAGCAAACATTGCGACCTTCAGGGCGAATGTCGTGCCATCGAGTAATACGAAGATTCTAAACAAGAGTTAAGAATATAGGAGAAAATGGTACAACCAGAATTACCTGTTCGCCACCTGAATTCGGATCGTCACTTATACACTTCCGGAGCCCGAAACGTTGTTGAGACTGCTTGAACTGTGTATCAACACACATTCTAGCCGCTTTGTTGCGTAATTCTCC